TAGTTTTCTTTGTATAAGTCTTTTATGTCCCTGGTTAGATTTATTCTTAAGTATTTTATTTTTTTAGTGGCTATTATAAATGGTATTGCTTTCCTGATTTCCTTTTCATAGTTCTCTTACTGGTGTATAGGAATCCAACTGATTTTTGTATGTTTATCTTGTATCCTGCTATGCTGTTGAATCTTTCTATTAGTTCCAGTAGTTTTCTTGTGGAGTCCTTTGGATTCTCTGTGTAGTATTGTATCTTCGCAAATAGGGATAGTTTTACTTCTTCCTTACCAATTTGGATATCCTTTATTTCTTTTTCTTACCTTATTGCTCTAGCTAGGACTTACAGCACAATGTTAAATAGGAGTGGTGATAAAGGGCATCCTTGTCTCGTTGCTGTTCTCAGACGGAATGTTTTCAGCCTCTCTCCGTTGAAAATGATGTTGGCTGTTGGTTTTGTATAGATGCCCTGTATTATGTTCAAGAATTTTCCTTCTGTTCCTATTTTATGGAGAGTTTTTATCAGGAATGGGTGTTGGACTTTATCAAATGCCTTTTCTGCATTGATTGAGATGATCGTGTGATTCTTTTTTTTGTTCTATTTATGTGGTGAATTACGTTAATTGATTTTCTAATGTTGAACCGTTCTTGCATACCTGGTATGAGTTCCACTTGGTCTGATGTATTATTTTTTTTATTTGATGCTGAATTCTGTTGGCTAGAATTTTGTTGAGAATTTTTGCTTCGTATTCATGAGAGATATTGGTCTGTAATTTTCTTTTTTGTGGTGTCTGCCTGGTTTTAATATCAGGGTGTGTCATGGATTGAATTATGTCCCCTAAAAAAATGTGTGTATCAATTTGGCTGGGCCATGATTCCCGGTATTGTATTGTTGTCTTCCATTTTGTAATTGTAATTTTATGTCAAAGAGGAGTAGGGTGGGAGTGTATAACACCCTTACTAAGGTCACATCCCTGATCCAATGTAAAGGGAGTTTACCTAGGGTGTGGCCTGCACCACCTTTTATCTTACAAGAGATAAAAGGAAAGGGAAACAGAGAATTGGGGACCTCATACCACCAAGAATGCAGTGCCAGGAGCAGAGTGAGTCCTTTGTACCTGAGGTTCCTGCTCTGACATGCTCCCAGACCAAGAGAAGACTAATGACAAGGGCCTTTCTCCAGAGCCAACAGAGAGAGAGAAAGCCTTCCCCTGGGGCTGACACCCTGAATTTGGACTTGTAGCCTACTGGACTATGAGAAAATAAATTTCTCTTTGTTAAAGCCATCCACTTGTGGTATTTCTGTTAGAGCAGCACTAGATGATTAAGACGGGGTGCCACAAAGCGTTTTTGATATAACAACAGTAGATGCTACCAGTAGTTGGGTTTTGAGCAGATTAAAGCATGTATGTGCTTAAATCGTTATTTACATATTTTTGCATGTACATTGTCTAGTTTCCTAGTTTGCATAGTAGTGTGGTGTTGCTCTTCACCGACAGAGATGATGTTCAGAGTCTATTATTATAGCTCCCTCCCCCATTCTATTTCCTCCCTCACCTCATGGGTATCAACTTTTCTTGTGTGGTATATGAGGAATGCTAGAAAACACCTCAGTATCAGAGCCGTGGTGGTGCAGTAGTTAAGAGCTTGGCTGCTAACCGAAAGGTTAGCAGTTCAAATCCACCAGTTGCTCCTTGGAAAACCTAGGGGGCAGTTCTGCTCTGCCTTACGGTGTCGCTATGAGTCAGAATCGACTTGATGGCAACAGGTTTGGTTTTTGGTTAGCTCGGTATTGTGCTTTATCCATCCTTTGTTTTATAATATTAGCAGTTATGTGTATATATTTGTATGTAGCAGTCTGTATACGCTCTTCTCCACGTTCCTTTTTTCAGTTCACATATGTTAGAGATTAGTCCACAGTAATATATAGAAATAGCTCACTTTCCTTTTAACAGCTGCGTATTACTCCATTGTGTGTATATTTCTTAGTTTATTCAACTGGTCCTTTACTAATGGACAATTGGATTGATTCCAGCCTTTTGCTGTTACAGATATTTCTGTAGTGAGTAGCCTGTATGTACGTGGTTTCGTGTGTTATCATCTGTAAGATAGATTCCAAGAAGTGGTATTGCTGTGTCAGTGCATATTGAATGTGTGGTAAATAAATGCATGTGTAATTTTACTAAATGTTGCCAAATTAACCTGCATAGAAGCTATACCATGTATGAAAGTTTCTTACGGCCTCACCATCAGAATAGGTTATCAAGCTTTTGGATTTTTGCCGGTTGCATACGTGATAAACGGTATCTCAGTGTAGTTTTAACTTGCTTTTTCCTTATTATGAGCAGCATTGAGTATTTCTTCTCAAATAGTTAAGAACTACTTGGCATTTCTCTTTCTGGGAACTGTCTATGGGGTTGTTGGTCTTTTTTACTTTTAGAATCTCTTTATTCAGGCTTGTGGCTTACAGACCCTAAGGTGACCCCCAGTAATTTCCCACCTCCTGGTACCCACACTCTGTAATCCTCTCCCCTTGAGTGGAGGCAAGACCTGTAACTGGCTTCTAACCACTAGAATATGGCAAAGGTGAGAGAATGTCAATCCCTAGATTGTTGTTAGTTGCCATCGAGTTGGCTCCAGCTCATGGTGACCTTGTGTACAACAGAATGAAACATGGCCCAGTTATGCATCATCTTCATGGTCACTGGTATGTCTGAGTTCATTTTTGCAGCTATTGTCAATCCAGCTCATTGAGGGTTTCCCTCATTTTTGTTGGCCCTATGCTTTACCAAAATCATGATGTCCTTTTCTAGTAATTGGTCTTTCCTAATGACGTGTCCAAAGTAAATAAGTTAGAGTCTTGCCCTCCTCGCTTCTAAGGAACATTCTTATTTCTTCTGAGACTGATTTGTTTGTTCTTTTGGCGGTCCACGATATAGTCAATATTCTTTGCCAACACCATAGTTCAAATGCATCAATTCCTCTATCTTCCTTTTTTATCATTCAATTTTTGCATGCATCTGAGGTGATTGAAAAGACCATGGCTTGGGTAAGATGCACCTTAGTCATCAAAGTGACATGATTATTAAATAGCAAAGATGATGGATGTCACTCCTGTGATTACATTATGTTATATAAAGCTGTCTTTAGCTGCCTGGAGCAGGAGACTCTCATTACTTGCTTGATGAAGTTAGAGACCATGTTGGAGAAGCCTACATGGCAAGGAACTTCAGGCTATCTCTAGTGTCTGAGGGTGTCCTTCATCTGACAACAAAAAGCCTGAGCCCCTTGGTCTTAACAGCCACAAGGAAATGAATTCTGCGTAAATGAGCTTGGACGAGATTCTTCTCCAGTCAAGCCTTCAGATGAGATTGCAGGTCGACTGATAACTTGATTGAAGCCTTGTGAGACCCTGAGCAGAGGACCCAGCTAAGCAGTGCTCAGACTCCTGACCCACAGAAACTAAAATAATAATGTGTGTTATGTTAAACCACTGAGTTTCTAGTAATTTGTTACACAGCAATAGAAAACTAATGCGGAAATATATCCTTTTGTCTGTGATGTAAGTTGCAAGATTGTTTCTAGCTTCTCATTTTTGTTTTTACTTTCTCATTGTCTTATGCTATCCCGAGTTTTTTGTTTCTGTATAATCCAGTTTATCTTTTCCTGTGTTATTTCTCAGTTTTCAGTCATAGCTACTGAAGTTTTGTCAACTCCCAGGTAATAGAGGAATTTACCCATGTTTTCTTCCTGGTACTTGCATCTTTTATATTTAAAATATCCAATTCATATCAGTTATATCTTGGTGAGTGTTGTGAGGAGTGTATCCTATTTCATCTTTTTCCATATGGCTAAACAGTTGTCCCAACACCATTTATTAAAAAGTTATTCATTTTCTCACTGATTAGTGATGTTATCTTTATTTATACTAAATTCTATTTACTATATCTAAAATCAATTTCTCAGATTTTCTCTCTCTTTCCCATTGGTTTGTCTGTCTGTACATGTGCTATACCACACTGTTTTAGTTAGCAAACCTCTGTGGTTTAGTTATTACCCAATAGGGCCAGCCCTCTCCTCTTGCTCTTCTTTTCAGGGTTTGCCTGGTTATCCCTTGCTTGTTTATTCTTTTCCAAATGAACTTTAAATCAACTTGTCTAGCTCCAGAAAAGAAAATCTGACAATATTTCTATCATGATTGTGTAGCACTTCTAAAGTTAACTTACGGAGAGCTGACATATTTATGATTTTGAGTCTTCCTATCCAAGAATTTGGCACATCTGTCCATTTGTTCAAGTCTACTTTTGGAGCTTTCAGGGGTGTCTCATGGTTTTCCGCATATAAGTTTTGGACATTTCTTACTAAGTTTTCATTTAGTGTTTTATTTTGTTTAAGACTTTGTGTTGATACTTGTAAATTAGATCTTTTCTTTTCCCAGTGGGGTTTAATCTTTGTCAGGTTTTTTTTTTTTTAATTTTATTGTGAAAATAAATAAAACATGTCATTTCTACAATTTCTACATGTACAGTTCACTAACCTTGATTATATTTTTCAAGCTGTGCAACCATTCTTGCTATCCTTTTCCGTATCATTCCACCACTATTAACATAAACTAAATGCCCCCTAAGCAAAAACCCCTTTTTCCCCCTCCCGCCCCTAGTAGCCACTAATAAGCTTTGGTTTCTATACGTTTGCTTATATCATATAAGTGAGATCATATAGTATTTCTCCTTTTGCAACTGACTTATTTCACTTGGTGTGATGATTTCAGGGTTCATCCATGTTGTGGCATGCTTTGTCAGGTTTTGAGATCAGTATTATTTTCACTTTATTAAACAAATTTGGAAGTCCCTGCTACCCCATTTTAAAAAATACTTGATCTGTTTGGACTTTCTGTTGAGACTGAGATCAATTTGGGGTAGTTGTATTTTCGTAAAAAATACCTGTTTCTTCTGTTCAGTTTGCATAGAATTGAACAGTTATCTCTTGAATTTTAAAATTTTCTCTTGCAGTGTTTTCAAATTTATTATTAAGAAATCATAGCTTGAAAGAGGAAGGCTTTGGACTTATGCTGGCATGCTGAACATTTTGCTTAATAGTGAAGATGTTTAAAGAAAGTCTCTGCGGTACAGTGAATTACTTAATATGGCCCTTCTGGCCATGCATGGTCTTGTGACTTTCACACAGTGACTGGGTGGGACTATGAAACTAAGGTGCTTGTGGCCCACCAAGGAGATTGGACAGCTTGCTGCTAATGCAAATACGGTGCATGGGACCCTTGTGAAGGTGGGACCATGCAAGTAAGGTATGTGGAAGTGAAAGAAGGGGATCTGCCAGTTTTGCCACCCAGTTAGGTTTAAAGTGAGATACGGGGAGCGAGAGAAAGGACCTGTACTGTAACACGGAAGGCAGCAAGAGACAGTGGCGCAGCAATAGCAAGAGTGATAGCGGCACAAGATGGCAGCAGACCAGCATGAGACGGCTGCGGTGGGGCTTGCCGACGCACGGAGCTAAGAGCCATAACACTTGCCTGAGAAGGCTCCGAGTGGGGCCCAGCAGCAGAAGGCCTGGTTGTAGAAGGCAAGAAGAAGCTGTTCTGATCAAGAATTGTATCCTGAGTTGTTCCGGTTACTTCTGAGTCATTCCCAGTCCCAAGTTGTACCTTGTTACTTCACTAATAAACCACTTAACTGTAAGTACAGTTCGTGAGTTCTGTGAGACATTGCAGTGAATTACCAAGCCCAAAGACAGGAGGGAAAGTAGTTGATGTTAGAGATGATGGAGTGGTACAGGAGTTTGGAGAAGTTGGATGTTTGGACATCTTTAATCTCCACCTCATAGGAACCAGTTTTGTGCTGATTCTTATAAAAGAAATTTTTCATTTACCCTCTATGTAAACTTCTTCTGTTTTTGGATACTATAAACATTTATTTCCCAGGATGTTCTCTGCTCACATTTTATACTCCTCTCAGATTTCACAATGCACAGAAGCTGAACAATGCTCCTTGACCTCTTCTGGGCCAGAAGTACAGTTTTTAAACATATAAACAAATATTTATTGATTGTTAGTACTGGTACCATGCTAGACATAGCGGGCTTGAATGATCCCTGTCCTTAAGGGGTTTGCTCACAGCAGGTATAGTAATGTTAACAGTATAGGCAAATTGTTTATCGGGATAGCTCCAGTTTATGTATCTGTAAAGCTTTTGTCTTTAACTGTACCTCTCCAGAATCTCAGTGCTAGGCATCTCCTTTTCTAGCCTGTGCATCTGGTCTTTCCAGCTCACTCTCTCTGGTGCAGCAATTATCCAACCCCACCAGGACTCTGGTGGCTTATCCATGTTTTTCCTTACCACCTCCTTCCTCCGCATGCTCACATTTCTCCTTACCTAGCTCATTACAGTCATCACACTGCATACACCTTCAACTCCCTTGCCCCGTTCTTCTCCTGTACCTCTCCAGCAAAATCCATCTCGCCGTTTGCGGGGGCAACTGCCCCTGAGCAGCTACCAGGTCATTACTGGAGAACAACATAAAATCATTGACCTGTCTCAGTTAAAATTCATGTGTATAACTGGTTAGCCTTTTGTTCATTTAACTTTTGAAAAGTATATTACATTAATATATAACTACTGAAATTTTGGCTTTATTAACCATTCAAGTTTATGATTGAAAGGATTTGTTCACTGGTTGTTTTGCATTAACTAACCTTAAGTGTTTGCTTTGACCCTCCTTTTAAATGCTTTCAGCCTTAGATGTTGAAGTGAGGGTACCTGCCTATAGAAGGAATAGCAAACAGTTTGAAGCAATAATACTTTATTGTGCAATTGCTGCATTCGTTATTGGATTATTAGTACAAACTAGATGGAAATTTCAGCTTTCAATTTTTGTTTGGATGTTTTTGTTTCTTATGAGTTAAGGAACTGTTATTCAGTTAAATGGCAGGCATCTGATTGCTTTGCACTTCCTTTGTATTTGAGTATTAACTTCTTGACATGTCTAAAAACATTCTGTCATTGTTGCTCTGAAGACTATTGTGGTTAATTATATGAATGAAATTACCTGATTTTATAAATTTCTGTCATTTTATAGGTTCCTTAATTTAGTATTATTCACTATAAGCAATGTTCTCTAAAGAATTATAATGTGGCTTGGGAAAGTAATATAATAATAAAATATAAAAAATAATATAACTCCTGAGAGGGTTGTTGAGAGTTACTACAGTCCAGGGAACCGAGGAATCCTGATATTGAGCTATTGCAGGTAACATGGGGAAGAGGTATCCTGTGAAAGAACTAGATAGACAGAATTGGCCAAATCCCAAAGGTGAGGTCTTTGAGGAGAGAAAAATTGTGCATTTTGCTCTTAAGTGCTGGCAGCCAAAAGGGACCCAGAGATGATACAGTGGACAAAGCTAACAACAACAGCCCCATAAAACCAAACGGGACTAATGAGACACAGCAGTCCAGGGACAAGGACTAGAAGGCAGAAGGGGACAGGAAAGCTGGTTATAGGGAATCCAAGGTTGAGTAAGGACAGTGTTGACATGTCGTGGGGTTGTTAACCGTTGTCATAGGGCAACATGTGTACTGTTTAATGGGAAACTATTTTGTTCTGTAAACCTTCATCTAAAGTGAGAATAGCAGCACAACTGGAAGAACATAATCGATGTCACTGAACTGTGCAAGTAGAAATTTTTGAAATGGTGTATCTTTGGTTATGTATATTTTCACCAAAAAAAAAAAAAAAAGAAGATCGAGAAGGGAGAGGGTTGACATGTCGTGGGGTTGTTAACCAATGTCAAAAAACAATATGTATACTGACTGTTTAATGAGAAACTATTTGTTCTGTAAACCTTCACCTAAAGTACAATAAAAATAAAAATTAAAAAACTAACAACAACAAAAGAAAAATAAGAATGGCCGTAGTCCTTGTGGAGGTTATATGGGTCCAGTGCAAATCATTGTGTTTTATGTTACCATCATTGTGCCTGATGCTTTACATATATTATTTCATGTAATTTCAAATATTTCATTTAATTCTGAGTATCTGATAAATACGTAATATTGTTCATTTGACATACAGCTGATAAAAATGAGGCTAAGAAAATTTGGTAATTTTTCCCAAAGTTGCATAGCCTGTAAGTGACAGAATGGGATTAGAGCTTAGTCTTGTTTTTTCATTATACCAGTGGTTCCTAAATATGGCTGTGTATCAGAATTACCATGGAAACTTATTAAAGATATAGATTCCTTGCCCCTGGAAATTGTGGTTTAGCATACTTGGCCTGAAGCCCTAGCAATCTGTGTTCTTAATATATGCTTCAGGGAGTCCCATATTTTGGAACTATTGTGTTTATGATGTTTGTACAAAATAAATTATCTGAAAATAAAACTCCTTTATAATGAAGTTGATTGATAAAGTTATAAGAAACATTGTATGTATCTTAAGTGCAGGGGATACATTGCCCCCTGCCTAACACCTAAAGGTCTGCATATCTCCTGCAGTGGGAGCAAGTATCATTGAGCGAGGGCTCTTAGACTCTGGTGGGAAACTCCCTTTCTCTGATGGTCTCTCTGCGGGTGTGTGCTGAGGTTGCTATATGCATATTAGTAAACTGTGATATATTGATTCTAGATAGGATTAGTGCTTTGTTCCACCTACCCATCTGGATGTAGGTTTTATGGGTTTGTCAGTTAAAGCAAACAAAACCCATTGCCACCTGGACCCTAGGACAGAGTAGAACTGCCCCATAGAGTTTCCAAGGCTGTAATCTTTACAGAAGCAGACTGTCATGTCTTTCTTCTGTGGAGCCACTGTTGAGTTTCAACTGCAGCCTTTCATTTAGCAGCCAAGCGCTTAACCAGTGCGCCACCAGGGCTCATGTCAATTAGACAACCAGTACACTGATGCTGATTAGATGTAGTGACCCTCACTGGGTCTTAGGCAGTCCTCAATTTGGTGTTACTGATAAGGTCCTGTGGTTAGAATTGGGAGTCCTGACTGATATACTCTCTCTACTCCCCCACCTTCACTCTGTTTCCTACCATTTTATTCTTCCTTTAGCACTTACCACAGTCTTTACGGAAGCAGATTGCCACATCTTTCTCCCTCAGAGTGGCTGTTGGGTTCAAACTGCCAACCTTTCAGTTAGCAGATGAGCACTTAACCACTGCACCACCAGGGCTCCTTACCACAAGTATAGGGGTTAGGATTTACAACACATAATTTTGGGGCACACAAGTCAATCCATGACAAGGCTTCAAACTGGATAGGGAAGAAAGTAAAACCATTAAAAGATGAGTACCTGGGGGCAGAAACAGAATATAACCTATAAGAAAAGGGAAGGGTTGAGTATCTGGAGGTTTTAATTTAAAATGGAGGAGGTCATCGTATCAGTTCTTGATGAAGCCATGGGTAGGACCAGGGTTACTTAAGTAGAATATGGGTGAGGGATATAGGAGGAACATGAGTGAATAAATGTTGAAGCTACAGTTTGGAAAGTTTCTGGTTGTCACCCAACATGATGGGGATTGGGATCAAGAATGTGCCGGCCCTTTTGTTGATGCCTATCTTCTTTAGCTCTGTAGTCACTTCCAGCTGCCCCTCTGGGATTGATTGCTATTGATGGGGCTTTTGTTGTTGTTCTGGGTTTTTTGTTTGTTTTGTTTTAAACTTTCTGAATTGACACAGTGAGATACCTTATTAGTTCTTAGTTCAAGAAATTGAGTTTTTTACCATCTTCTAGGCTTGTGGCATAACCTTTCACAAAATGGTTTAATTTTTGAAGTGGGACTTGATACTGATTTGCTTTGTCCTGATATTTTGGCAATGATGATGTTATTTGTAAATTATTTTAGGTTTTACATATATGAAGTAATTTATAAGTGTTATCTCTTTGGAGATTTCTTCTATATGCACATTACTTATATAAGGTTTTTACTGTCCAGAGTCAGTTCATTGAGAAGGTTTTATATATGCGTTAGGCTGTTTAGAAAGAATTCCTCGGCAGGCTGTGTGAGGCCTCCGTGAAGACCTGATAGTATCAGAAAACTTAGGAAAAGATTGTTGTTTAATGCCATACTTCCTGCTTCTTCCCATGTTTTACAGAGCATCTTGAGGAGAGGGAAAACAATTATCTGAACTCTTTCCATCATAAATTTGAAATGTTGAATCTAGAGTAGGCACTAAAAAAGAAACCAAACCCATTGCCGTCAAGTCGATTCTGACTCACAGCAACTCTATAGGACAGAGTAGAACATGAGGGCGGAGTAGGTGAGTAGGCGCTAGGGCTGGTTTAACCTTTGATTGGAAAGTAGAACTGTTTTTTTTTGAAGCTGCTTATTTTTAAGGACAGATTTTAAGATCTTGTGTTTAGAAAAGAATCTTTTGATTTTAGAGTTGGAAGATGGTATATCGTATACCATCACGATATACATACATTTGTGTTTTCCTCATGAAAAGTTAAACCTGAAAAAAATTACCAAATGGAAAGCAGTCTAGCACAAAAGTGAAGAGGTGTCCATTAACACGGGCAAACGAACACGTCAGCTCTTTTGCTGCCATTGGTCTGCCGAGCACCAATACGTTTGCTTGTGTTTTTAATTTTTGAGCCTTTTTATTTTGCTATTCAGTGGCATGCACAGGGTCTTAAGTAAATAATTTAAAAGTGCTGCTTGGTGGTTTGGAAAACAGTGAATATGAATTTGGTAGATGATTTATAAGTGTACTGAGTTGTCTAACAGATTTTTCCTTCTCTTTTAGGAAACTGAAAATGGCCTTTCAGTTATGCTAGGTCTATAATGGGAAGTGTCACAATTCGATATTTCTGTTATGGATGCCTTTTTACATCTGTGACCTGGACAGCTCTGCTCTTTGTTTATTTCAACTTCAGTGAAGTGACTCAGCCACTTAAGAATGTGCCCATCAAGGGGTCTGGGCCCCATGGGCCATTCCCTAAAAAATTCTTTCCCCGTTTCACACGAGGTCCAAGTCGAGTATTAGAGCCACAGTTCAAAGCACACAAGATGGATAATGTGATAGATAATCATATTGAAGATCCAGAAAAAGGCAACGTGAAATTCTCTCCTGAATTGGGTAAGTAGGTTTGACTTTTACTAGCAGTCATTTCTAAGTATTTAATCATTGGGAGGTTAAGTTTAATTATACTTTCAATCACATGTTGCTCAGGGAATTAGAAATGTGTCATTTTTTTCCCCCCTCACTGATTTATTTTGGTCATGAACTGTCTGAGGTTCTATGATTTTAGCAGACCTAGATGGGAAGTTACATTCTAATTTGTCCATTTCTGACTTTGATATTTCATGAGGACTTGGAAGAAACAAACAAGGTCTCAAGAAGGGGGGAAATGAAAAATTAAAGGGCTGGAAGTAAAATGGAAATGGGGAAGATTTTGATTGCTAGGATTATTTAATGAGGAAAATAAATGATTGAAAGGTGACTTGAGTGTATTTAACTTATTTTGAAAGGCAGATTTAATAAAAACAGACATAAGGCATTAGGTTTAGAAATAATCTGGGATTACTTATCTCTAATAAGATTTCCACTAATAAGAATTATGATAGCACTGGACTATATATATATATATTAAATATAGGAGCTTATTTAATGTGATCATAAAATTGAAAACCTTTTTTTTTCCTTCAAAATTATATTCTGTCCAATTTGGAAGCTGTAATCTACGGTATATGTCTTTGAGTACTGCAGTTCTAGAGACCTGTAATAAAATTTAGCAGATTTTATTTTAAGGGATGAATGAGCCATTTTGGTTATATTTAAAAGATAAAAGTAGAACTTTGATCTTGTCATCTAAGCATCCAATAATGAGTAATCTTGGAGTAAAAACACATAGAGATTTGAGAGATCCGTAATGACTTTCTAATATATGAAGCTGAAAGTATTTAAAAATTAGATGAGGAAACAGAAGCCAATACCTTCTTCAGTTTTGATAAAATATACCTTATCTTTTTCAAATGACTATGTAGACATTTTAAAAGCTTTAATGGGAAAGTTTCTAGCACTTTTATTTATTCATAATTATTTTGGTAAAGCTTTTTAAAAGAAGTATCTTGGGTTTACCATTTTGAATGGATTTTGTGTTTGCCTTTGAAAAAAGTAGTGAGAGAATTGTAGGTATTTGAAGTGACAAACCTAAATTGACTAACTGAAAACCTAAATTCCTTATAGAAAATCTTAAAGAGTCCTTTAAAAAATATGAGAACTAATAAATGAATTCACCAGAGCTGCAGAATACAAGATCAGTATGCACAAATCAGTTATAGTTTTTTTTTAACAGGAGTACACATGTTGTTTTATGACATTGGTTAACAACCCCACAACATATTAACCCTCTAACTTCTCAACCTTTTTTTTTTTTGGTGAAAATACACATAGCCAAAGATACACTGTTTCAAAAATTTCTACATGCACAGTTCAGTGACATTGACTACACTCTTCCAATTGTGCTGTTATTCTCACTTAAGATGAAGGCTT